GCCCTGTGGGATAGTGCTACTCCGCCCCATGGTGCTGCTGTGAGTTCCAATAAACTTAGCAGCTAGCAAGGAGAACTTGGAGAGAAGAGCAATAAAAGTTCCTGGCTGTCAGGGAGAGGGTTTTTGTTTAGTCTGGTTTACTACTGAAGGTGGTCGATGAACTAAGTGAGTTTATCAAATATCATGGCAGTATTTATCAGGGGAAAACGGCAACAGCGTAGTTATAAGGCATGGATTATTTTCTGGAATATTGCAGGGTTTATGAGCTGGTGGCTTGCCTCACTACATTAACTGAATCCATTAGTGAAACCAAGTTCTAAGGGCAAGCTTAATTTGCTTTTAAAAATGGGATTAAAAAAATTTCTTTAAGCACATTCAAATGATTGTGGTTATTGGCAATTAATCACTTGGTAGTTAAGGGGAAGTTGTACATGTTCAGAATGAATTATAAGGTCATGGAAGTGAGTTTTAAGTTGCTTTTAAGATTTTTTAAAAAGGAAATAGTCTGAATTAGTTAATAACTAATATAATTAGCTGATCCCCAAGCTGTAGTTAAACCCCAGTACCAAAAGATACAGTATAATTTTAAAGGGCTAGATTTTTCCCCCCTCTGCCGATGAGGTCTTTAAGAAACACTCTCATGAGTGTCAGTGTTAGAGATTTAGAAAATGGGAAAGGTAAGAATAGAAGGTGACTCAATCAGAGTTATAAGAAAGTATGTACCATATATACTCGAGTGTAAGTCACCCGAGTATCAGCCGAGGCATCCAATTCTGCCACAAAAACTGCATTAAAAATGTGCTGGGGGAAAAAAATGTGCTGAAAAACTCGGCTTATACACAAGTATATACGGTAACCAAGAAATCTCCTTGGCCACCCCACCCCCCAAAATTTTAGTTTTAATATTCCTTAACTTCCCACTCAACTGAAGGTCTGAAAATACTTGTCATGTATTATATTTATTTAAATACCTGAATTTGAATCTTCCTTCTTGAAATCTTCCTATTCTCCACTCTTCCAACATCTTTAGCCTCCTTGTCCGACTCCCACTATCTTTTCTCTTTCACGTTATCTTACTTTCTTCTTTCTACAAAATTCTTCTTCCCCACTCAGCTGGCCCCTGTGATGTACAGGGCCAGCTCTCTTCTGGGCCCTTGCCTATCCCTGCCTCTGAGGCTGCAGTAAGTTTCCTTGGCTTGCTTCAATAAGATACCACACACTGGGTGCCTTATAAGAACAGAAATGCACTGCATCACAGTTCTACTGCGAAAAGTCCGCATCCACACTATCAGCTGGGCCATGTTCTTGTTCGGTGCCGCGGAATCGGCTCAGCTTCATAGAGACCTCATATAAAACAGGATGAAAAGTTGCCCAATTCGGCACCATCCTCACAATTGTTCGTTGCTCTGTTGAAGCCCGTTGTTGGAGCCAGACCCAACCCAACCCACTGCCCTCCAGCCCTTTCTGACTCACGTGGCCTCGGTGTTACAGAGTGGAACTGCTCCCTAGGGTGCTCTTGGCTGCAAAAGTCAGTCACTTCGTTACTAGCCGAGAGATTGACAGCCCAAACCCACTCAAGTTGCCTCAGAAGACAGGTCTGGCAAGACTACAGCCTTGACTAGCCTATGAAGTAATGCTACTTTGCACACTTACGGTCAGTGTGAGTTAACATTGATTTAACAGCGACTGTCAACAGTAAGAGTCTTTATGGAGGCAGGCCTCCAGGTCTTTCTTCAGCAGATCTGCTTCATGGTAGTTTGAACTACCAACTTTTAGGTCCGTCATAAAGAGCAAATCATTCGTACCAGCCCACTGAAGCCTGCAAGAGAAGGGGCTTTCCTGTGCTCTCCCAGCTTCTGGGACCCCCAGGAATTCCTTAGCCTGTAGATTCATCTTCACATGGCAATGGTCTCTCTGCTTCACTCTCCTCTTTTTAATAAGCTCATCACTCACTGTTCTCATCCCCACCCTCTGCTGGCAAGGAGACCCAGGGGTGTGCCATGTGTTCCAAGCCAGGCTGCTAACTGGAAGGTCAGCGATTGACACTCAGCAGCTACTCCACAGGAGAAAAATGAAGCTGTCTTCTCCTGTCCAGATTGATAGCCCCAGAAGCCCTCGTAGCAGACAGTTCTGCTCTATCCTACAGGGCCACTGTGAGCCAGAATTAACTTGGTGGCAATGTAGATGTTTATTAATTGGGTTGGTTTTTTGTTTTTATTCTGGTATGATCTTCTGTTAACTTAATTGATAACATCTTCAACGACCCTGTCCCTAAGCAAGGTCACTTTTTGTCACGACAGTTTGCTAAGGGTGAGAACTTCAACATGTCTCTCTGGGGTATGCAATTTATAACACATGCCCTCCTTTCTGGCGCCCCCTTAAATGTCCTTTATGTCTCACCGTGTGAGGTCAAGGAAAAATGTTCTCTGGGTGTCAGTTTCAAGAGCCCTGGCAGTGCAGGGGTTAAAGCACTTGGCGACTAGCCTAAAAGTTTGGTGGTTCAAAATCACTTGCAGTTTCTTGGGAGAAGGATGTGGCCGCCTGCTTCCATAAAGATTCGCAGCCCATCAGGACCACAGTCTCATGGGACAACTCGATCAGTTGGCATAACATACATCACAAAAATCATGATCTGCATCTTAGTCAAGACCATCCATAATTTGTTATGGTCCACACACTCAAATGCCTTGGCTTAGTCAATAAAACACAAGCAAACATCTTTCTGGTATTCTCTGCGTTCAGCCAAGACCCGCCTGACATCAGTAATGATGCCCCTTGTTCCGTGACCTCTTCTGAATCCAGCCTGAACCTCGGGCAGCTCCCTGTCAATGTACTGCTGCAACCACTGTTGAATGAAATTCGGGAAATGTTTACTTGCGTGTGATATCAATGATATTGTTCTATAGAATCGGTACGAATATGGATCACTTTATCAGTTGACCAAGTAGTTGTCTTTTAGAGTTCCTGGCATAGAGGAGTGAATACTTCCAATGTTTCATCCGCTGTTGAAACTGCCCCTTGGTATTCCATCATTTCCTGGAGCCTTGTTTGGGGCTAATGCATTCAGTGCAGCTTCAACTTCTTCCTTCAGCACCATCGGCTCTTGCGCTTATGCTACCTCCTGAAATGTTGGAGTGTTGACTAGTTTTTTTCTGGTACAGTGTCTCTGTGTATTCTTTCCATCTTCAGAGAAATAGCAGAGGGACACGCAAAATAAAGGATAGTATGCTTGTGTTCAGTGTTCTATTTCTAAACTGTCAGCATGAGACCGAAGGTCAACAATTTCTTACAAGTAATGGTGAGAAGAGGCAGGGAAATTAGGATGCTAGGAAGAGAAAAACAAGACACAAAAAATGCTGACACACTGGAATAACGCTAATTAATGTCGCTGAACAATTTGTATGGAAATGGTCAAGAGGGAACCTAACTTACTTTGTAAACGTACACCAAAAACTCAAAGTTTTTTTTTAAATCATTTTATTAGGGGTTCATACAACTCTTATCACAGTTCATACATACATCAGTTGTGGAAAGCACATTTGTACATTCATTGCCCTCATCATTCTCAAAACATTTGCTCTCCACTTAAGCCCATGGCATCAGGTCCTCATTTTTTCCCCTCCCTCCCTGCTCCCCACTCCCTCATGAGCTCTTGATAATTTATAAATTATTATTTTGTCAAAAGTTTTGTGTATGTGTGTTTAAGATTGTTTTGTCTTAGAAACCCTATGGACTAGCTCTGCTCTGTCCTGTCTGGTCATTGTGAGTCAGAAGAAACTCAGTGCCTATGGGGTTTTGTTTGGAGATGTTGGCTTGAAGCAACATATCAACACACCGCACAGTGAGAGGATCTGCCTATTCAAAGCAAAACAATAACCTTTTCACTTCTGTTTTTAAGCTGTAGCTGACATGTTATCGTGGGATGAACGAAGGACATATCATTTCCCTAAGATGCCTGCTTCAACCATTGCTGTATTCATTGCTAGTACTAGTATGCTAGTGTGTCCGAGGGGTGCACCTGGCAGCTGGCATCTTAAACGCTTACTTCAGAGATACGGAGTGTTGGGTTCCAGACTGCCACAGTGAAACAAGCCACACACACTTTTATTTTGTTTGTTTCCCGGTACATATAAAAATTATCTTTGCACGATACTGTGGTCTATTAAGTTAGTCATAACATTATGAAAAGGTTTGAAATATTTGAGAATTAACAAAATGTGACACAGAGACTTGAAGTGAACATAAAGAAGCCTCACCAAATTCACTGCCAACTCAGAGCGATCCTGTAGAACATGGTAGAGCCACCCCGGTGGGTTTCCAAGACCGTCACGCTGCACAGGAGGAAGAAGCCTCCTCTCTCTCCCTTGGAGTGAATCATACCATTGAACTGCTGACCTTGTGATTAAGAGCCCAGTATACCATTGGGCTCCTTCGAAGTGAGCACATGCTGGTATGCTGGCACCGATAGACAGTGTTTCCCCTTTCTATTTGTAGAAAGCAATATCCACAAAGCCTAGAAAATGAGGTACACCTGTAATTTGTCATGATTCAAAGACCATCCCATAATATCTTATGATTCCTCCAGGCACATAACCACACCAGGGACCCTTTGGCCTCGGCCTCTCGGTGTTTGCATTTGTATAAAACCAAACTGGCTGACACTGGGTCGATTCTCACTCATAGCACACCTGTTGGACTTTGGGTTTGCAAGACTATCAGTCCGTAAGGACACGGGCAGCCTCCTGGTTCTCCTGTGGAGCAGCTGGTGGATTCCAACTATGAACCTGGTGGTTGCAGCCTAACATGTAATCCATAGTTTACTATTTCATTGGCAAATCATTTAGGTGGAGGGCAGGTAATGAGTTATGACTACGACCAAAAATCCTTTCTCTAACCCAACTGCATTTCCATTTATAGATTCCACCCTCAAAGTTGTCCAGAATACACAATCTATTATTTCAGAGTAACTTTAACTCAAACAGTGTTTTTAATATTTGCAGGAGTCTGAGCATGCCGGGCAAGCAGGAGGTTCCGCGCGAGGGCCCCCCAGGTTGCCACCAAGGTGCGTAAGTTCATGAAACTTAAAAAAATGAAAGATGTGTCAGAGGCCTGGCTCCTTCCTCTCACCACTCTCGTGTTTGGGCCTTCAATCTTCTTTGAGAGATAGCTGAGTTACGGTCTACACACAACTTACCCAGGCCACGAACCTGCAGGCTGTTCCTCACCACCGGGAGTAGGCATCTCTGCGCCTCTTTTGTTGAACACAGTCCAGAGCACAAGCACAGGCCTCTAGTCCTGTTGCCGTCCAGTCGATTCCAAAGCACAGCCACCCTGTGAGCCAGAACACAATGTGCTCCACGCACAAGAAGTGGATCACCACACCTTTGTTTCTGGGTAGACTCGATCTTCAACCTTTTAGTTAGCAGCTGAACATGTAAACCATTTGCACCACTCAGGGATGCTGTATTCCATCTATGTCCCCCAAACACACACACACACACACACCACCACCACCATCACCACCACCACCCCCAGACTCACTGCCTCGAGTCAGCTCCCACATAGAGACCCTCTAGGGCAAGGTAGAATGCGCCTGTGAGTTTCTGAGACTCACTTTTTTGTTGTTGTTTTGCTTGGATTTTATTTTTGGATGAAATTTTTTGAAATTAAAAAAAAAGCATTGTATTAGGGGCTCATACAACTCTTTTCACAACCATACATACATCAATTGTGTAAAGCACATTTGTACATTCGTTGCCCTCATCCTCAAAACATTTGCTTTCCATTTAAGCCCTTGACATCAGCTCCTCATTTTCCCCCTTCCCTCATGAACCCTTGATAATTTATAAATTATTATTGTTTTGTCATGTCTTTGTCTTATCTTACACTGCCCGCCGTCTTCCTTCAGCCACTTCTCTGTCCATCCCCCAGGGAGGAGGTTATATGTAGATCCCTGTAATCAGTTCCCCCTTTCCACCCCACCCTCCCCACCTTCCTGGTATCTAACTTTTTACAGGAGTAGAAAGCCTCCTGGTGGTTTCAAACAACTAACCTTGCAGTTAGCAGCCTAACACATAACCACTATGCCACCAGGGCTCCTGAGACAGCTCTATTACTGTTCTTAAAATCAACCAATAAAACTCAATCCCAAAACTAGAACAATCTCACTTCCGTTACCTGCCCATACATACCTGCATCCTATTGTGAGAAACCAGTCCGGTTTGGGCATTTGCAAAGGGAGGCGGGCCCTGTGAGCTCAGAAGTGACCTGTCCTTCTAAGCTCCCGAACTACTTGAGCAAAAGACTGTGGTGTTATCAGAAAGTTACTGTGTTGTACCTTTATGGAAAGCTGTCAGGATTAAGGAAAGCCTTTCAAGTAACAGATGAGCTATTCCATGTTCAGAACCAGCTTTCTCAAAATTAATAGAAAGTTTGATTTTAATAGTAGCTTCTGTTGTTGTCATTGTAAAATCCTGTTGGGTCAAGACTCTCGGCGACCCTGTGTACAGCAGAACAAAGTGCCGTCCAGTTCCGCACCAGCCTCACGATTGTGTCAATCCATCTTGTCAAGTATCGGAGCTGCTGTAACATGGATATTAGGGGATTTTCCATGTCCCTTTTCCAATCAAGTACACCTTGATGCCTTCTTTTTACATGCCTCTCGTCTTAGGCTTTGGTGGAAAGTGCTTAGCTTCCCGAATTGTCGTGGTGTGTTTAAGAGCAAATGTGGCCTTAGAGAGCGCATGAGACTAAATGCTTGTTTGTCTTGAACTAATGAATCTCTTGCGCTATATAAGAGGAAGCAGGAACCTCATGGCATTTCCTTGAATAATATAATGTGTAATGCAGCAGTCATTTGCACGAAAATAGCATACTGTGCATGTTTCAGTAAATTCTGTTCCACTAGTAAAAAGCTGAGAGACAAAGTGTGTGTGTGTGTGTGTGTGTGTGTGTGTGTGTGTGTGTGAGTGTGTGTGTGAGAGAGAGAGAGAGAGAGAGAACAGAACCCAATACCAGTCAAAACTGACTGCTGGCCTCGACATTGACTTTCAGACCGGTAGATGGAAAAGTCATCGCAGCTCGACAAGGTCCCCCCAGGGAGCCCCCTCAGAGACCACCTCCCCCGAAGCTTTCTGCAGCCAGAACATCATGTAAAAAACTGCCTCTCAACCGATCCTCGTCTGACATGGATCTTCAGAAAAAACAAAGTCACTTGGCATCTGCACTCTCAAAAGCCAAGAGTCAAGTCTTAAAAACTCAAGATCCGGTGCTACCCCCTCGCCCTAAGCCAGGACACCCCCTCTACAGGAAGTACATGGTAAGAGGAGCTATAAAAGGGTCAAGAGCTTTGTCCTGAAGTAAATGTACAATGCCTCTGGAGCTTTGAAAAAGAACAATGAAACATACGGAATTGCCATGGAAGTGGCAAAAATGAGGGTAACTGACAGATATTAAAGGTTACCACTGCTACCTGACCACTGAGTAGAACTTAAAATGAAGCAGGAAGTTTGTATTAAAATGGCTGGTTTTCCTATTTCTCTCTCCTGGAGTCTGATTATCACAGTTTATTTGGAAGTTTTCATCAATAATTTGGATAGTTGGGGTGTTATTTTTTTTTCTCCATGAGTGTTTTTCTCTTCAGATAATGTTAAAGCTTTGTCTCCGTTTCCCAAATTTGAAAAATAGAGTTGATTCGCTTTCTACTTCCGTCGGGTTCATCTGCTCACCTCTAGAACAAAACAAGTAAAACTAGTAGGTGGGTGCTTTTTCACAGTGACATGACAACGGGTCTTCTAACCAAGGTTGTAATTCATAATCCTCTGTTGTCCTGCATTTTGGTCTTTCATCTCAGAAACTATTTCACCTTAAACCATATAGGTTTGGTGGTTTCTTTTAAATCTCCCTTAAAAACCAAACTCACGACCCCCAAGTCAGTTCTGAGATTGGTCCTATGAGACAGAGTGGAACTACCCCTGTGAGATTCTGCCCCTGTAGCCCTTGAAGGAAGTAGAGTAGAAAGCCTCATCTTTCTCCCATGGAGCAGTGGGTGATTCCAAACTGCTGACCTTGTGATTCACAACCGGACAGGTAGCCACTCTGCCACCAGGGCTCCTATCCCCTGTTAAAGGGTGTCTTGTTATCTAGTGCAGCTATAGCCGAGATCCTGCAAGTGGCAAACAGAGCTTTATTTTCTCACAGTGGAGGAAGCTAGCAGTCGAGCCAGAGTGCCAACGGTAGAATAAGCAGAGTTGTCTCTGTTGACTCGGAGGGAAAGTCCTTATTCCTTGGCTCCTTGGTGGGTTTTTTGTTTTGTTTGTTTAAGATCATTTTATTGGGGGCTTTAACAGTTCTTCTAATCCTTGGTGGTCTTTAAGGAACCCTGAGGGGATCATGGTGAAACGCTGGGCTGCTAACTGCAAGGGCAGCTCCTTGAAACCACCAACCACTTCCAGGGAGACGATGAGGCTACTCCAGTGTAGACTGACAGCCTGGGAAACCCACAGGGAGAAGATG